GGGGGGGGAGGGGTAGTAAAGAAACTCCTTCGCTCCGCGGCGTGAATTGGGTCGCGACATGCTCGCCACCACACATTCTGACAAGTATTGCTCTTTTGACTAAGTTCACTGCAAAGGTGGAGGTACGAAAACGCTATGAGGATTGAGGAATCACCCTCCTGATGCGTTCGTCCCTTCCCTTATATATTGCAGTTCAGTGCGGCGTTAAATTTCTCTCTCGCTGACGGGGTGGGTGATAGGGTGATCTGCGTCGTCCTCTTTTTATTTCGGGTTATACTGTACTGGTTTCAGTTCAGTCGTGCGGGCGGGCTTGCCTACCGTCGATCACCATGGCGCTTTTATTTTAGTGCCAGTTGCATCCCGTACAGTATACGTAGAAATAGAGGACGTCGCAGCAAAGTAAGGAAGGGCTGAACGGCAAACAGATCTCTATCATCGGCAACCGGCTTGTCAAAACTGGAACGATCGGCGGCTCATCTGAACGGGGAATTATTTTTTTTTTGAGACAGCCAAAAGTGACTGTCTAAAACTTTAAAAGTCAGGGAACGTTGACGCGCCAGTGCTGCAAATTTGATGACTGGACAGAGGCGGGCGTGGCCGACCCCAACTCCTCGTCGGCGTCCTCGCCACACATCGGCCGCCATGCTGCTGAGCAGGGAGGTGTACGTGTGGGAGCGCTCCCTCAACGGGGAGACGGCCCGCGCCAGGGTGGCCCTGTGGATCTGGAGAAAGGTCAGCGAGCAGAACGAAAGGGGGTCGGGAAGCTCCTGCTAACGAGGCCCAGTTAGGAACGACGTATGTAAAGGCTGTCTATTAAGGCGAGTCTAAGGTCTAATTTTCGGGCCATCGACGTCGAGAATTTGTCCTGACTGGGTGCTCGTTTTGTTCTACCCGCTTGTCGCATTGGCATTAACCCACTGAGTTGTGACTATGACGGTGACCCGTGAACTGCCGTGTTCCTGTCCGGTGCGCAGCTCGTGCTGGTGATGCCGGTGTGGTTGGTGCTGGCCGTGCTGCGCGTCGGCCTCAGCCGGTCGGTCCCGGACTTCCTGGCCACCCTGGTCGGCCTCCTGCCACAGTACTCGGCCGGCACGGCGGGCTTCCTGCTGGCGCGCCGCACCGCCAGCTTCGTCAGCCTGATGCGCCACGTGCGGCTGCTCGCCGAGGACGTCGAGGACGCCGTCGGGGAGGTGCGGCGGGAGGTGCAGGAGGCGACGGGCCGTTGCGCCGAGCTGGTGCGCTTCGTGCGCCGCGCCTTCACCGTGTACATGACGTCGGGCATGTCCATGATCGTGACGCAGCAGATCGTCGCCGGCCCGCCCGCGCCCACCATAGGCGAGGAGCGGTCGCACGCCCACGTCCTCGTCCACATCAACGAGACGATCAAGTGGATGTTCTACGCCGTCAGCTACTTCGCGCTGTGGGTGCTGCTCGCGACCACGCTGCTCGCGTTCAACGGCATGTACAACGTGCTCGAGCGTCGCATGTCGCGGGCGCACGGCTACCGCCAGGTGCTCGCCGCGGCCCGCCTGCACCACGACCTGCTGAGCCTGCAGGCCGAGCTCAGGGACGTGACCTTCGGGCCAATGCTGCACGTGCTGGCCGGCGCCCTGGTGGTGCCACTAATCAACACTTACCAAGTACCGTGCACTTGTAGTATTATTCTTTATTATCTTAAACCTTCAACATGTCCAATTTTCAATTAAATTTGATTTTTTAGACCCGCGCATCCTCTTGCACCCCTGTGATACACTGTTCCAACTGTTCAGGTGCTCCGCGGAGTGGCCAATGTGTTCTCCTTGCTCACGTTCAGCACGCTGCCGTTTGTGTTCGGCACGCTCTCCCTGCTCGCCGATGGTATCGAGGTGCAGTACGAAACTCTCTCCCCCCACCCCCCTCCTCTCTATCCCAACTTCAAACTCAACCTTATCGTCCTGCCGGTCCTGCCGCAGGTGCGGTCGGAGCGCTTCTCGCTGGAGGCCCTCTCCGGCTCGGACGTGCTCGGCGAGCCCCTTGCCGCCAGCAAGCTGCGCCTCATGATGATAGCCAGGGCCAACGGCCACCACGTGAGTGCGGATCTGACCCGATCAAGTGCGGCTATCGTTGATTTGTTTCGATGGCTCAAAAAAAAGTGGGGGGTGGGGGTTGTGTCGCAGGGCCGGTCCTCCGGCGGCTTCAGCATGCGCGGCTTTGGCCCCCTCAACCGGCCCGCAGCCTTCAGCACCCTGCACCGCTGGTACCAGTACCTGCAGCTGCTCATGGGCTCCAGCTAACGAAGGCGGGAACAGACGTCATTTTTAAAACCGCTTAAACGAATACAGAAATATGATTGACTCGGATTGCTAAGGATCGTGCTGCTGGTTCTTGACGCGGGGGAAGTCCAGGTCCGCGACCCAGCACAGGTGCAGCTCCTTGAGCTGGTTGTAGACCATGATGTTGACGCGCCACACGTTGCCCTCCCACTGGATGGGGATGTGCAGCACGGCGTCCAGGTCGGCGGTGGCGTTCCGCGTGTGGTAGACTCCCTGCCAACGACACCAAAGCTGCTCACCGTGTTGTCAGGGGCCGTTGCCGTGAGGCCGTGAGCGTGAGCAAGGTGCGGTTACCTTGACAAAGGGGCACTTGAAGGGGGGCGTCATCTTGCTCATACTGGCGCTCCACGGCATGCCGGGTATGCTCATCACCCGGCACACCCCGAGCTCGTAGGTCCACGTCTGGTAGTACTCGCACGAGTTGGAGGACACGGCGTCCCGGCACTTGGTCAGCGTCATGTCGAACTGCGGGGGGCACACGCAACAAAAGCCGTCACCGGCCGTCATGCCGAGGATTGGGAGAGGGAGAGGGGAGTTTTACCTTACTGAATGATTGGGCCGTCCTGGAGACGATCATGTCGACGTCGACGCTGATTGTCCCGCCGGTCAGATGCCGCATGACCGCCGACATGTTGGCGATCGCGGACGGGCGGTCTCTGCACATGTCTACGCTCAGCAGGCGGGACACTAGGTGGGACCCGCGCGACTTCGCCTTCCCCTGTGGAATCAAGAGTCCATGGCTACGGGATGCTATGGACATGAGGCCGGCCGGATCGGAGCCCGGAACTTTTTAGCCACGAGTGCCCGTCTGGCAACCGACACGAGTCCGAGCCTGATCCCGATGGCCAGTCTCGGTTCATAAGTGGAACTGATCGGAACTAAAGCGTTCAGGGCTCATCAGATCCGGCCGGGCTCATGTCGAACGTCCCATGGATACCGGCCAAGTCCATGGCAACCCGTCCATGTTCTCACCCCCGCATCAGAGTGTCCTTACCGTCCTCGCCCCAGACGCCGCCCCGGGTCCCAGCACGACGCCAAAGGCCACCAGTACGAGCAGCCGAACGCCCCAGTTGGTGTAGTCGGCCATGGGCCTCGTCCCGCCCGCGGCCCGGCTAGCGCCCCGCGTTCGCGATCATCGGCGACAAAAGTTGTTGCAGATTACCGGGTGACGGTGCGTAGTGCGGACTGTAGCGTGATTCTCGCTGTACGATTTCTGACTTGCGATACGAGCTGCGATTCCCGAAACGTTTTGCGTTGTACGATCGCACCATGTATTTTACTGTTTATGGTGTACGACATTTGGTGATAGCGAACGTAAGTTTCTAAGAAATATTTCCCCGCCTATGACCGCCATGCAGGACGGGTGACGCCGAACTGTTGTTGTTCTGCAGTGCTAATTCTACTATCGCCTGACGGACGTCCAGCAAAAAAAAAAAAAAAAGTAATGCTGTGTACTGGGTTGATTATGTTTCCGGCTGGAAGATTAATGATGTCGAAATGCGTCTGCGTCCCAGCGCCAACGCGCAGGTATGACGCTGTGCCACTAATTAAATAATTTATTTTGTGCGATTTTGTGGTCACAATGTGAATTATTTCAGGAGCGTGTCGGGAAAAATCTACCGATAGCGACGTAGGTGGAGGGAGAGGGGGTGGAGGACAGGCGCGGATTAAGGG